CCCCCCAAACCCTTTCTCGCAGCCGCTTTGTCTTGCAGACTGACCAACAATTTGTTAAAACACCTACAAGTCTTTCGGACTCTTCACCATGCAGTTCCTTCACCTTCCTTCCCATCGGAGAAATTGAGTTTAACTGAAAACCAGTGTCAGAGTGTGTGCGTGTACGTGACCACGCGTGTGTCCTAGAACCCCTTTTCGAAATCCATGAATCTCCCTGCGCTGCGTCACCATTATTTCTCCACGTGCACCCTGATCTCAGCAAGTCGTCGACGCAGTCCGAACGACGGTCTCTGCGGGAGCTTCGCTCAGAACGTCCACGTCCAACCCTGTCACAAGTCCCGCACCGTTGGCGGAGGCAGTGCATCCAGCAGGCTGCAAAGAAAGGGATCTCCAGCCTGGCTGGTGTCGGAAGAGAATCCAGTTTCTGGACATGGGATGATTCATCCTCAGTTGATGCTTCTGTTTACGTTTCATCCATGTTCACATATGTTCAACAATTTTCATCATAATCATAATAAGTGTAAGCATCTTCTTTGGTGATACACGAGCACTAAAGCCATTGTTGTTACCCCTATCAAAATGCTCCATAGCCCAGCTCTTGTGCCTCCTGGGCTGCTTGCTTCAGGGTGTCCAACTCCTTCTTGGCACCCCCATGTAGCAGTGCTTCCTGGCAAGAAATTGTAACGCAAAAAATGTGCTTTGCTTATGGCTCTTGATCAAAACCTGGTAAGACAATTGTACCCACCAACTAAACAAAATTAAAGAAATCATGAAAACATGTCCTTCTTCCCGTATTCTTTAGAACACAAGCTTTCAACAAATTCGAAACATAGATCAAATGATCAAGCATGGAATCAAGCTCTCTTCGAACTCGATAGAACTCGCATCTGAATCTTTAAGTTTTCTTCAACTGAACCACTGAAGCCCTGGGAGCACCGGCATCGTCGGTCCCATCTTTCGCCGAAGCTGAGGACTGGCCTCTAGGCTGATGACTGCGGCAGATAAGCCTCGAGCAGAGCAGCAAAGCAGCAGTGGATCAGCTGCGTGCAGGGGGCGCATTTCGAAGCACAGCAGGGATATGGGCCGTGGGACTCCTTTTGTGGCCCTTCTCTGATTGTTTTTGCATATCATCTTTTCGCCACTGGCGAAAACTGAACCGCTATATACCTCTCGCCGCATGGCCGCATGATCTTCCATGCTGCGTCTGATTGGTGTGACCAAGGTACCCTTTCAGGGCGGGAGACCGGAACCCGACGAAAGACACCGCACCGGAACGGGCGGGCCGTTTCACCTGCGGGGCCGCAGGTTTGTGCGATCCGAGGCAGGTGCGGAAGGCTGAGCTGAAGGGGTTGAGGTGGTTCACATCGAAATGTCTGCATCCAATCTGAAGCATCTGAACATCTGCATCTGCCATCCAAAAGAAGGCACGGATCGAGGACGAAGCGGTGCCTGCACCAGTGTCAGCCGATATCTGTTCGAGTCCCGCTTGTCCAAGTGTCATCCGCCGATGTCTGTTCAATATTCCAAGGCACGGCTGTACATGTAAGCCTTCTTCATGATGGCGTCATCCTCCGCTGTACACAGAAGGACGAGAAGACAGTCATGGCGTCGTACGACGCGCACGATGACCCTGGAGCGTAAGCCTCGGTTGTGTCATAGCTCTAGCAGCGTCATGGGCAGTGGCAGATACATGCAAATGCCAGCTCTTGCAAAACAAGTCGAGGTCCAAACAATTAATTACCAAACACTGCCCACAAAGAACCGTTATATCATCCAAATCAGAAAGAGCATACCATCTAAAAATGCCTTGACTTCAGGGTGCAAAGCGTGCAGTTCGGAATATGTTCTTTTTCACTAACCGCAAGCACATGCTTAACCAGATACGTGTTTCATACTGATTTGACAAACAAGCTGTTTCTTACAAACAAGCTAGACCATGGTAGCATCAGATTCAATTCTAATCCATGGTTGCATCTTCCCTAAGCTGACTTTTGTGGCAGAAAGGCCTGGGAAAATTCGTTGAACAGAAAAGCGTCTATTCTTGCAGGGTGTTCCAATGTCCCGAAAGTAATGTGCTTCTCAAAATGAGACCCTTTGCATCCCTATACTTTATACAGACAATCCAATCTTCTGTTTCTAGACCAGTAGGGAAGGCCTGATCGGCTCATCAGTGAATGAGTTTCTTCCTAGTCTCAGTCACAAACGTCCATCGATGCAAAAGGTTGATCTCGGGTGAAATCTGAAACAGATTTACTGGGTAGTGGAGTTCCTGTCTAAGTAGTGAGGCCGTAGAGCTCTATGTTGTGTATCATCGTCCTACATGAGAAGTCTGCTTGCCAGTGATACTTTGCCAGCGATACAGTTCGCACATGGTTTGAGCTTTAATTTCAAATCAAAGTCCCTTCCGAAACCAAGTCTTTTTTTGATTGTCCGAAAACAACTCAAACTTCTGGAGATAACACATGGAGATACCTCCACCGAAGGAAACGTTGATTTCTCCACCAAAATCAAAACACTGACAATCTTCCAGGTCTTCGTCGTATGTCCTGCTTCAAGAGCACTTCCAATTCATCGAAGCCCTTTCGCATGGCCCTGGGCAGTGAACGCATCAGTTCCTGATACCTCCCGCGATCTACAGGTGGTATCTCATGCAACCAGGGCATACAGCCAGGACAAAAGTTGGTAAGAAGCTTGTGAGTACATAACCTACAACCCTTTCCCCTTAGAATCCTACAGGGGATCGCAGTGGAATGCTGGCGAATTAGTTTCCACCCCGAAGTAAAATTTATAATATTAATTACAATTTAGTTTAGGGTGATTAGAGTGGAAACTAATCCGCCGGAATTCCATTGGGAAAGATAAGTGATGTCAATGACATTATCGAGTGAAGTTCTTACCAAACGTTCTTCCTGCTGAAGTATGTCCACACGCAAGCCAGTGCTTTTCACTTACATAAGCAAAAGCAAAAAGAACAATCATTCCTAATTAAGGTACATCATGAAAAAAAGTTAATGTATTGGGACTCAATGATGCCTTTACCTATGCAAAAAACGCACGGGTAAAAGGGACCAACACCGTGGCTGTTCACCCAGTCTGGATGCAACACGTGTGATAGTCCTATCTGTTTGCGTTATCCGTGGGCATTGGAGAACGAAACATGTCGTCCATTTGTTGCAGGCAAACTAGTGAGCACATAGAGGCACCAAATCACTGTCTCCAACTGAGAGTCAAATTCGCCATCCACAAATCTATCATTAGCTCATTCTGTGACATTCTGTGGGGTCATGAACCTACATCGTGCATTGCGTGCTGGCCAACCCTCGATGAGAAGTTCGCTCCCAGCTGTCCAAATGACATGAATCATGAACAGCTCATGAGGTCAGTCCGAAGCCCAAACCAAGAGCCCACATTTCTTTGCATCAAGATGCAGGGTCTCCAGGGTTTTGACACGCTTTCAGTCCCCAGATTTATACTATAATCTGATTGGTGGTTTCAACTCACTGCAACTCACTTGAAAAGTATTAGTCACTTAATATTCTTAGTCAGTCGGCTCAATCATTTCAAGTAGATCTTGACAATAGAATCCAATAGAAATATCTGAAACCACCACCCAGATATTTCTGCACTGGCTTCTGGTCTTCTCTCACATTGGCCTGTTTGGCCTAGACCAAAACACGACACGGAACCTGTGCCCCTTTCGGCGCCGCTGCACTCGATTCGCAGACTGAGCTTCCCCGGCACGACTTCTTCGACTCGGTTCGCTTGAGCCTGGTGTTTCTTTTTTCCAGCGACCTGATCGCCTGGTGTTGTTTTCACATTAATCTGTTGGTGCACCTTTTTT